ACCCAAACTTTGTATTGTGTGTTGCTCTCCAGGCCATTAAGGGTGTGACTGGTGTTTTCAGGCCCAAGCTCCACTACTCTGGGGCTGTCTTCTCCCCAGACTTGATAGTAGAGACGATATCCCCGTAGCACACCATTGACAGCTGCTGGGGGCTCCCAGGAAACTTGGAGTCTGTTGGAACCGACTGCAGTTCTTTGGAGAGACCCAGGAGGGCCTGGGGCTGCAGAAGACAGGTTGGAGTTAAAATTGTTTCAATCTAAACATCCTACTTGGAAATAGTACAATCACTACAATGTCAGGTACAGTCTTAAACATTGGGTGTGGCTCTGGTGGGCTTGTAGGAAATAAATTTAGCATCCATTCTGGCTCTAGGAGTTAAAGCATCCCCCTAGTTCCTGGTGACGTGTTCACATGACATACATGTATGAGGTATTACATTACTTATCTAAACAACACAAGCACCATGACAGTAATGGTGTTCCTATGGGTTAGACTGGACTTACTTCCTTCAGCAGTGCGTACCCTGACAGGCATGCTGTGTGAGGACGCCCCTGTGTCATCAATGGTGACAATGACAATGTCATAGTCTGTGTGTGGTTTCAGCCCACCCAGTGTGAAGCTGGTATCTGTGATGGGCCTGCCCACGTCTAGATAGGCTGTGTTAGTCTCCGTCGTCTGCTTGTACAGGATGCGGAACCCACGTACTCTGGAAGCAACATTGCAAAAATCATGAACAAAAGTTGGGTGTGTCCATACCTTCAGCATATTAGTAACTATGGTAATTACCTGAAAAACATAATACATGACGCTGACTTTAATATAACTTACAAATGTCACATATATGAAATAACCTCCACAGAGCAAGAAGACAATTAGAGTTCGTGAAACACATGCCTTCGTCAGACACAGTTTTTTTTTTTTAGTGTTACTTGGCGTAAACTTTTAAGTTTAGCAAGGACATTGTACATGTTTAGCAAGGACTTCTGTATGTCCTTGTGTTCAGCAAAAGAGTTATTTTTTGGAGGCATTTGTGTGTTTGGTATGTGTGTTTGCCGTTTGTCAGATTGTGATCACGATAAGTTGAAATAGCTTCGCGGCATTTGGAATTTGGAGGTAAGTTGAAGGAATGTCATACTTGGGGTACTTTAAAGTTACTAGAACTTTTAAAAGTTAAGAGGAATGCCTCTCAAAATTTTGGTTTTATCCCCAAGTTTGTCTAAAACTCAATAATGTTTTTTGTACATATCAAGGTACGCTAATTACCTTCGCCAAGAAGGTTATGTTTTCAGAGGCGTTCGTGTATGTGTGTGTGTGTGTGTGTGTGTGTGTCTGTAAACACGATAACTTCAGAAGGCCTTGGTGGATTGTCTTGATACTTGGTAGGTGGGTAGGTCTTGATGATACCTCAAAATGATTAGATTTTGGACCCCCCAGCGGCTTGTTATGGTACTGCAGCTGCACTTCCGGTTTTGATATCTCATGATCTAAACATGCTGGGGTGACGAAATTTGGATGGTAGGTAGCTCTTGTGCTGGGGAAGAAGTGACGTGAGTTTGGGCCCCCTAGCGGCTTGCTCTGGAACTACAGGACTATATGTTTGAAAATATTCAACTCAATGTAACTCAAGAACTGGTTGACGGATCGTCGTGATTTTTGGTATGTAGGTAGCTTATGTGATGCTTGATATAATTATTTGACAATTACGCAAATATGGATGTAATTTGCATAATTTATGGGGATATTCTATAAATCAGCTTCATTCCATGGTTGGACTATTGAAGCTTGTGACATTGGTAATTGAGAATAAGAGAAACACAGACAGATATTAATTATGTAAACGAGGACTTAATTTGCATAATTAATGAGAAAATTTTATAATTATGTAAAGATAACTGCCTGGAATTTCATACTTGTGGTATTTGAAAGTTAAGTGAAGGTGAACATCACTAAACATAATGTATTCAAATCAGGACCTTATTTGCATAATTTATGAGGAAATGCTAGAATGGCATTGTTTGTTAATATAAGACTGTCTTTTGGTTGAGAATATGATAAAATGATATAATTCATGATTCTATTTGTTAAATCAGGGGGGAATAATCTATAATTTGTCAGTCATAAAGATTAACATCATTTGGCGAAGGTATGAGATCGGGGAACTCTAGTTCAGTGTTAACCTTACTTTCACAATTCGCACATTGTATGACCATTTCCTCCGCCATATACTTCTGGCGGCCAGGTCAAGGGTTGTTCCCGGCCGTTCATTCACCAATAAGGAATCACAGAATTTTCACATTAATTATGCAAATTAGCCATCTTGAGACTCTTTCTGCAGCCTCAAGAATGTCTCTGATAGCGGATCTTAGCTGTGGGCCTTTTACTCCGAGGAGTTTTAAAAAGAACTGTTAAACAAAACACTGTAATTACAGAATTTCCTCCCAAATTATGCAAATTAAGTCTTCATTTGCATAATTTGCATCTGATTAAGTACATTTTTCTCACAGCTACCTACATACCAAAAATGATGAAAATACGTTGTTCCTATCTGGACTTATTGGCTTTAAAAGATTTTGCCAGAAAGTCCCCTGCAGTTACAGAACAAACTGCTAGGGGGAACAAACCCACACCAATTATTTCTGACAGGAAAAGCTATCAGTCACAAAAATCTCAAGACCATAGCATGTTCAGGACAAAAGATACAGAAACCGGAAGTTCTGCTGCAGTACCAAGGTCAGCCACCAGGAGGACCACATTTGACCTTAACCTTTGTCACCTACCCACATACCAAATACCATTACAATCCATCCAAAGGTTAAAAAGGTCACAAATCGCAAATGTCCGGACATACAAACACACACACACACACAGACACAAACACACAGACACGCCAAAAGCAATACCTCCATTTTTCATGGAGGTAACAAGCTGCTAGGAGTCCCAAAATAACACCATTTGCTCCCATCCCCAACAGCTATCCACTGCTCAAAAATCTCTCACCTGACACTTCTGGAAAATCTCTTACCTGACACTTCTGGAAAATTTTACCTCAAACTTTAACATTGCAGTGCAATACCTACAAAAGGCACTAGAAGGCCCATTATAAAACTTGAACTTTACCTGTCACCCGAATACTAAATACCATTAAAAACTGCCTGCGTTTTCTAAAGTTATGTTGTCCACAAACAAAATCCCCAAAATACAGCAACGTACAATGTAGGAACATCATAAGATAACCATTTTTGACCTTAAAATTTCTTTCTATACCCGCTGCACGTACCAAATATCATTCACAGATTCTCGACTTAGGCTGCATACATACAATTGACAAATGCACAAAAAGCCAGCTACAACTAGATTGGGAAAAGCCAGGTGGTCCATTTTTTAACTTGAAAAACATTTTAACAACATCTACCCACACATCAGAACCTTTAAAAAAATGCATCGACAAATAATTGAGTTATAACGTCGACCTACATATGGACCAACACCACGGCCAAAACGATTACATACCCTTCTTGAAGAAGACAATAATCTGTTCATGACAAAGGATCCAAAAAGCACATTTGACCTGACCTTTGTCTTCCCAAGACCTATCCACATGCAGGGCTCGAAATACTGGGTGCATGTGCACCTTAGTGCACCCAAAATTGGAGCTGTGCACTGAATTCATTTCTGTGGGTGCACTGGTGCACCCAAATATTTTTGTACATATTTTTTTACATACTAAACGTATAATAGAAAACAGGATATTCTTGGAATCTGTCAGAAAAATAATAAAATATTTGTTGTAGTAGTTCTGTAAGATTTTTAAGTTAGCTCCCATTTCATATTCACGCTTAGAAGAGGAGCAGTAAGATCTGTGATTAGGTTTTGTTGTGTATGGTGCACCAAAAAAAAATTGTGCACCTAATTTGTTAGGTTGGGTGCACCAGTGCACCTATTCCCAAAAATGAATTTCGAGCCCCGACATACCAAACATCATCACAATCCATCCAGACCTTCTTAAGTTATACTGACCACAAATATGCAGAAACACAGGCTTACAGATAGACACACAATTGACTGACAGCCAGCTACAACTAGATTGGGAAAAGCCCACACGTCCATTTTTCATGGAGGTAATTTAATCCAACAGTAGTAGTTGTCTGTGATGCTGTAGAAGGTGCAATGGCCTAGTCGAGGGTACTAAGTGGAGGGTAGAGTGTTCACCTGCATAAGGTTCAACCAAACCCCGATCAGGTCATACCAAAAAGTTGAAAATTGGTCATTGACTCATTGCAGTGGCCTGTGTGGCCTAAGCGCTATAGATGTGGAGATGGCATTGTCCCTATACACCACAAGGTTTGGGAAGGATGTTAATCTATACTTGACTGTGCATGTGATGTGATACATGCTCACCTGTCTGTAGTTATCCCTGCAGGGGCACTCCACTCCAAATCAACACTGTCACTGTCACGGGGCCTGGCTTGGACAAACTGGGCAGGGGTCGACCCTGAAGAAAGACAGTCAATGACAAAAGTAAACACCTTTCACCCTTTATGCTTTGAACTTGGATTTGGGTAACAGTTCAAAGTACATGTACAAAAAAACCTGTTAAAAGCTCTGGTAAAATTACATGTAGCTTGGTATTCCAGTGAGCATTTCTAACATGCCTCCATCTCTCATACAGTCAGAAGGTCTCCCCCATAAAGGGAATACAAGCATATCTTCTCTCTTCCCTCTCCAAGGTAGGTTGTAAGCTATGTACATGCATGCCAACTGCTTCTATCAGTTGATAGTAAGGAGACCAATCAAAATGTCCTGTTCAAACATGCAGTGTTACAACTTCTATACATTATTCCATGAAGCATCATAAAACAGATCTACTACCACAGCAGGTACACTGTATAGTAATTAACAATGACCTCCTATTTCAGGTGCTGTCTGAACTCTGAGAGTGTTGCTGCGTTGTCCGTCCCCACCCATTCCATAAGCCATGACCTGAATGATATACTGAGACTCTGGCTGCAGACCAGACAGGGTATAGGATGTGTCCAGACTCCTGGTGTCCACAACGTTCTCCTGACCACCACTGGCACTACAGAAACAGAAACAAAAATTTCAGACAGCTGTATTTCAGTTTCTCAACACACTGTCAAGACTCACCACAAAACCATAAAATGATCTTTCAAATAACATTATGAGAAACAGAAAACTACCTCTGATAGAAGATCCTGTAGCCAAATAACCCCCGTGTGTCGGTGGGGGAAGACCACCTCAGTCCTACTGAGTATGAATCCACATTCTCAGCAGTCAGTCGATGAACTATACCTAAAGATACAGATACACAGGCATTACAACATATGTCTATTCTAGATCAGATCTATTTAATACAGTAACTGTAACAAACTAACAAACAAAATGAGGGTGGAATATTTGTACATGTATATTGCTTAAAAATGAACAAATGTACATAACACCTTGTCTGCATATAACCAAATTTAATCATGAAGCTCAGGTCTGCAGACTGAAGAGAGATTGACATGTTACCTGGAGTAGGCAGAGCTTCGTAGCCACAGACTAGTCCAGGGTAGACCTGTCCATTACAGCACACCTCCCGCTCAGGGTTGAAGGCCTCGCTCCCACAGCAGCCCCAGGGCTGGCCATTGACAGGGACGGTGTGAAGGTTTTTCCCACACCTACAGGGAACATTACATTCAACTACTTTGTTTTGCATACCTGGTAATTAATAAAACTGCCACAAGGCAAAAGAGTTTTGTACGTACAAGCTGCAGGAGACAGGACAGATTTCATCCACTCACTCAGATGGATCTCTACTCTTATTGATAGGACCTGTGATGCGTTTTACAAGTAGTGTGGAAATTAGTGTACAGAACATTCATGGATAAGTTGGGAGTGAACCCAACATTGTTATTTAAATGTTATATATATATATATAACGGATTGTGTGATTGCTACCATGTTAGCCACCCCATCTGGTTTGTACTGGTTGTACTGATCAGAAAGTAAACCAGAACTAAATATCTGACCCTGTTCCTGACAGATTGGACAGGGGTTTGATAGTGTAACAGTGGGAGGTTTATAAGCGCTACCTACTAAGCCATCTGACGGGTCTAGACCTCGTAGCCAAATGGTTAGGGTATGAACTGGTGCCTGGGTTTGGCATGGATGCCCGGCCTGGGGTTTTTCTGTTTCTACTCGACCCTAGTTGTTACTAGAACATTCATCAATCAGTGACTGTTTTTGAAAGTACCTCCAAAGTTTCGATGTCAACTGTACATCTTGTTTACGGAGTGACCAGGTAGTCTTCAGCTTGATCTTGATCTTCCAAGATCTGCACAAGTCTCGTGTTCTCGTGAGACCAGGTCACTCCGTGAACAAGATGTACAGTTGACATCGAAAATTTTGAGGTACTTGTTTGGAGGAATGTTCTACTAACTGTTAATCTTACTTGACTGATGAACCTCTTCAATGATATTTGACCCTAGTTGTTTCAATATGTTCCTGACAGGTTGGACTGAGGTTTCATGTGTTCCTGACAGGATGGACTGAGGTTTGATGTTTTCCTGACAGGTTGGACTGAGGTTTGATGTGTTCCTGACAGGTTGGACTGAGGTTTGATGTGTTCCTGACAGGTTGGACTGAGGTTTGATGTGTTCCTGACAGGTTGGATAGAGGTTTGATGTGTTCCTGACAGGTTGGATAGAGGTTTGATGTGTTCCTGACAGGTTGGATAGAGGTTTGATGTGTTCCTGACAGGTTGGATAGAGGTTTGATGTGTTCCTGACAGGTTGGGCAGAGGTTTGATATCTGTCATGGGGAAATGTGATATCTGTGCTGTCCTGTACAATGTTTTACTAGTGCTGTTGATCAGGAGCTTTGCTAGCTTTCTCTTTGAAATATTTGCTGTTGAAAGTGTATTTCATACAGTTTGGTCCTTAGAAGACATGCAATAATATTATTTCCATGTAGTGGACAGACTGACTCCTTACCGTACACAAGTGCTCTGTTCTTCAGACCCAGACCTCACTTCCCCAAAGCAGCAGTGGTTTCTCTCAGGGCTGTACGGGGTGACTGTGTCACAACACCGCCATGGCTCATCAGTATTAGGTCTGATAAATGGAGTGGAGCCACAGACTTGACAGGAATGTTGCTGATCCTGTCCACTGAAGATCTGGCCGCTACAGCAGGTTTGTGTTTGTGGGTTGTAGGGCGTCATCTCAGACGTCTTGGGGTGAGAACAGCACCAGTACTCAGGCTCATCTCGCCGACGGCTGAAAACCTGTAAGTCAACAGAGAGATTTCCTAAGCGGGAACCTTCTTTAAACAATGACCTCATGAAATGCCTCTTGCCTGTTCACACCTATCATTCCTGGAAATAGCTTGAATGAGTTTTGTCATTCTTATCTTTATGACAGTCAGTCAGTAACAACACCAGCCTGCAATGGTACCCTTTTCTTTGGGTGTGGCTGGAAAATATTTCATCCATGAATGCACTGTCATAAAACAATGACTGCACTATCATGAAAAACACAACAGCTCTCGGGAGCAAGATAAAACTGTGACAATCAGTCTGTGACAGATACCTTATTCCCACAGCGCTGACAGGTGAACTGTTCCTCGGAGCCGGAGTGGAGTCCATTAAAACAGCAGTGCTGTTCTGCGGGGTTGTACGGCTGGCCCTGACAGCATCGCCAGGAGCCGTCTGTCACCAGTCTGCTGAAGTACGTGTTCCCACACCTGTAACATGCACAAAACCTGATGTAACACACACAACCCATGGCATATACAAGCTCTCATTCTTATAAGGTATGTATATTTTTTGTACAACATATGTGTGAATATGTGTATAGAATTATTGGGACTTTAGATAATGTAAACTTTATTTTTTTGATATATTTTGTCTGACTTTTACTTCTTCTCTCATGAACTCAATGAAAAGCAGGCCTGCAAAGCCCATTTGGTTCAAAAAAATGTTTATAGCACCAAATAAGACATTAAGTCTTTGGTTCACACTTCCATACTTGAAACTTGAGATCTTCAATAAATGGAAATTGTGCATTTATTTCCATAAAATAATAGGAATTTAATATTTGTGACATTTGTAACTTAAATGTAGGTTGAGGTTAACATTGGTAGATATAGATTTTGGAAATTATGTCATACAAGTTTGCATAGTTAGAGACAATTAATTGTTTTCAAAGCTAAGGGGCCTGTAGAACATGCCAGAACATACTTTGTCTTGGTAGTGTATCTATGACTGTACCTCTGGCACACGTAGTCACGCTGGGGTCCATACTTGGGCTGGTTAAACCCTCCACAACAATGGTGTGTTGATGGGTCATAGGAAATCTCGTTGTTGACTCCGCAGCAGCGGAGCGGCGGCAGGTCGCGGCGCCGGCTCATCATGTTGTCGCCGCAGGACTGACAGATGTAGCCGCTCTCCGGACCGTCCTTCAGCGTGCCTGCACAGCAGTGCTGCCGTAACGTGTTGTACGGCTGGTCTCCACAGCACATGTAGGACTTGGACTCATCTCTGTAGGATGGAGCAGGATTTAGGACATTGGTCCCTAGTAGCTATCTAAAGTACTGCAGTACATCTGGTTTTAAATATCCAGATTGTAAATAGTAAATAGCATGCAGGTATTCCATCATTACATTGTAAAAATACTACTATAATTCATGATTATGAAGTTCCCACCATAAACAGTCCCCTTAAATCAGTCCATTAAAAATAAACTTTGATAACTTACATAAAAAAATAATGTCTTAAATCTCAGATGTCTTTTCTTGATCCCTAAAACTAAAATTGGGCCCTTCCCCTACTCTTCAAGCACAGGTATAAAACAAGGCTGACCACATCCGCTTGTAATTGACCCTGCACTAACCTGGGGATAGACATAACACTGTCAGCTGAGCAGCGGAAACAGCTTGTAGTGTCCTCTGGTCCATCCTGGACCTGTCCGAAGCAGCAGTGGCTGGTCTCCGGATTATAGGGCTGGTCATTGTTGCTGCCACAGCAGCGCCAGGGCCGACTGCTCTTGGGAATAGCAAACATGGTGGTCTCACAAATCTTACAAACATAGTTGGCTTCTGCTCCCTCGTATACTCCATCCGCACAGCAGATTTGTCGCAAAGGGTTGTAAGAAAGAGGTCCTCGTGTGGAGTAGCAGGTGTTTCTGTCTGATGCAGACCCCCGTACTGCACCTGGGTAATAATACAAAGCTCTCCTTAGACCATTGAACCATTCACTGCCATTTAGAGACTTTGTGATAAAAATGCACAAAGCATGTCAGTACTGTATCTACCATGATTACCTATATTTTAATATCATTGGGCATTGGACCCAAAATATACAATATGCCGGGCTGCCCCAACTCTTCTCATTTCCAGTTTTTGTCACAAACTACCACCAACACACAAAGTACAATATGAATACCAGCCTATCTAGCCATTCTTGCGCTATCTTGGTGGCACACAGACAGACTGACAAACACAACCCAAAATATAACTTCCATTTTTTAAGGAGGTATTAAAAATGAAAAAGAAAATGTCTGGGGTGTATAATGTATAAATCTGGGGTATAGCCTGACTAATCACGCTCCTGGCGGCCGGCTGCCCCGAATTGCCACCCCTTGGGGTGGGGGTCATTAACCTCCGGCCGAGAGCTTGTGTAACACAGGCTAGGGTGTATAAGAGGGCCTGCAAGCCCTTTTTCGTAAGGCGTAATCAGGCCGTTTTAGACTTCGTAATTCGTATGCAGCCTCCACAAAAGTCAACGTAATTCGTAATTGGACATTAGGCCACACCAATTTAATTTCTTGGTTAACGGATTTTTCTAGAAAAATAATGGTGCGGGTGGGCGGAAAAAAAATAAAAATAAAAACAGGCCTAGGCATCCTTTTATGGCCCAAAATGGTACGATAGGAGCCATGAAGTTAACACACCAGGCTGGTTCAAAATTTAAACAATGAATTTTGAACTTTTAATGATACCACTGCATTGAAATATGGAATGAGTGTAACAAGTAGTAAGAAAAGGACTGTTTTCAACTGTTCAGGGCAAAATATGAGGATTTTGCAGTTGATTCTGAATTTTTATTTTTATTTGCAAATCAGAAAAAAATGAAGCGGCGAATCCGTTAACCAATATATTAAATTAGTGTGGCCTTAGCCGCAAATCGTAAAGTCGTAATCAGCTCTAAAACTTTAACGTAATTCGTAATAGGCGGCGAAAATTTTGCATAATTCGTAATCACTACCCCCCCTTGCAGGCCCTCGTATAACAAATTTAAAGTTCTTTAGTTGAAACCAAATGTGTGGCATATAAATAGCCTGCATGCCAAATTTAACAGTTACCTCATTGCAGGAGAGGAAGAAACATTAGGAAAAAATATATTCCCCACCCACATCTGTAGTATGGGGTTGAATATAACAATGGAAAAAGGGCCTAGAACTGTTAACTTGACTGTTAGTAGCCTCTAAGTGGAGATAGAGCGGTAATTTGTCTGGTTAAACAAACAACAGTGAAAAAACAAAGGGATGAATGTGTCAGGTTAATGAACGGAAACTCTGCAGACACATTTTATTTATCCAATTTCCCCAGACAGCATGAATTCCTGCTCACCTGATAACCGCCCACACAGAACAACTAATCACTCAAGGTAACGGGACACAGGATTTACCCTGTAGGGACTTCTTCAAGGACTCACTTTGACCTGTTAAAATTATAGTCATGTGCTAGAGAAGTGATTGATTACTTCATTTATACTGTATGGCCCTGTCATCCAAGTAGTTCTTCCCAGACGTTTTGCATTTTGCATTTCTATTTGGTAGTTTCTAGTTGACCATACAAAAGCACTATACTTTTTGCTGCATGGAATATGTGAAGTGCAAACAACATGATGTACTAATGGTACTGTACATCCACCCATAATGAGGAGACTGAGGTAGTGACAACTCTCTCCAAAATGTCTAACATGGAGGCGGATACACTCATTACAGAACTTTTATATTACATGTAACCGACACCTGTACCTGCTGTATGATCATCTTCCTGTATGTACAACACTTCATGCAAGTCTTCCTAGAAACCGCGCCAGACAAAACAGGCGGCAGACACGGGGGATTGACATCTCATCTCCCAGGTCGCCCACGGTACTCATGTTCTCCCCTGAAGCCCAGTCACATAAACCAAACACCCACAAACTAACCTTCAACTTCACCTAACCCTCAGGCATGCCATACTGGCAGTCAGTAAGGAGCTTCAAATTGAGCCGCAAACAACAACCAAATAAGAGGGGCCATTACACAGTATGATTATGTTTTTTTTCTTTATATCATTGCAGTAAGTAAACTTTAATTCACCCCAAATTATATCACTTATCTACCAACGTTTTAAGGACATGTATCTTCAATATTTCATACCAGAAATGCGTGACAAATTACGAACACACAGATTATTAAAGAATACGTACTACAAGGAAAACATCTGAAAATTACAAACATTAAACACAGACCAGTCATAAAAAAGCTCCGTCAGGCCACACCAATTTAATTTCTTGGTTAACCGATTCGCCGCTTCATTTTTTTCAGATTTGCAAATAAAAATAAAAATTTAGAATCAACTGCAAAATGCTCATATTTTGCCCTGAACAGTTGAAAACAGTCCTTTTCATCCTAGTTGTTACAGTTATTCCATCTTTCAATGCAATGGTATCATTAAAAGTTCAAAATTCACTGTTTGAATTTTGAACGAGCATGGTGTGTTGACTTCATGGCTCCTATCGTACCATTTTGGGCCATAATAGGATGCCTAGGCCTGTTTTTATTTTTATTTTTTTTCGCCCACCCGCTCCATTATTTTTCTAGAAAAATCCATTAACCAAGAAATTAAATTGGTGTGGCCTAACAGTTCACAATAAAGGTCTTTCATTCAATAGGCAATGTTGTGAAATATTCATGGTATGTAGGTAACAGTTGGTGTTGCTGATCATGATATCCCAACTTCTGATGGATTGTGATTGTGATGGCTAACTCTAGTTCTCTTTGAATCAAAGCCATGCAGGTACAAAATCACAACAAAAGATGGGGATTCCTTTTCATGATGACGTCACACTCGGATACGCGATGGACGCCCGCGCGCGTTAAAGTTGACATCTCAATAGTAATCTAACATCTCAGTCTGAGTCCGAACTACTGTATCTGACCTTCAAAACTCCCCCCGTCGTTACACATCGTTGCTCATGATTAGGCACCGGCTGGACAGGGAGTCCGTACGGGGGTGATTCATGCCCGCGGACGGAAACCGGACAGACAGACCACGGCTACGGAAATCACCTGCGGCGGGGCCAGCGGAGCTTACAGTGCAGGGACAATGGGAATGTACTGTATACTTTAGCCTGATTGTGTCTGTTGGACAAACATCGTTGAACAATGTTACATGATTACGATCTCTTGTGCGATTAATTTTCCGACTGACCACGGAAGTGGTAGCGGGGAACCACGATACCTGGAGCATGGGGCGTTACGTTGCAGTTTCTTCAAAAGTTCGCATGGTCTTCTGTCCGGGCAGATTTTATTTGTAAAATTGTTCCAATACAATTATGTGGAGCACCTGACAGCTTGCTGGTACCAAGGAACCTCCTTGCTGTTACATGTTGATTTCAGACTACATAATCTAGTCGTGGACACAAACCACAACACCAGATATCAGATTGAAGCTCATAAAAACAAACGTGGAAATTCCAGAAACGGTGAAGGCCATGAAGTGGAGAGAATTTCCGATTTTAAGCCAGAAAATCTCCACACCTGGTTTGCGGATGTACACTGGACTGGCCTTTCCTGTCTAGTCTACCGACGGCGTGGAAACAGATCCTTGTTTTGAGTACAGAAGTTCACTACCGTAGCAACAGACCCGGTAAGAATGTCTGGCCTCCGGCACGGCCACGCACCATGTGACTGACACTGGGGAACCCGAGACCAAGGCCAAAGGTCATGTCTACAGGAACGGATGTGATTGGCTGGAAAGTTTAGAGGCTTGCCCCAGGCAGACTCGTCTGTCACTCGCCACGGCGGTGATCAACCTGGAGTTAACAATGTATCTAGCCTCCTGTGCAGGCCCCGCGGCGGTGGGGAAGAGTTTTTAACGCGTTATTTTAATATGGCCGGCCATCCTACATAGCCGCAGAGAGAAGGTTCCATTCCGCCCACGGATTCCGTGGATGGCCGGCTATATTAAAATAACGCGTTATCAAAAACTCGCACAGGAGGCTACAATGTATCATAACATACAGCCGTCTGAGCCGGTCTGGTGACCAGAACTATACTAAAAGAAGTCAAACCCAGTAGTTTTTTTTTTATACTAGTAGTTTCTTAGTAGTTCTCAGTAGTTTCATGTGTACTATTTGTCTTTTTATACCAAATGTTTCTTCTGTCCCTGCAATTAGCCCTCTGGCATGCAATAAAACATTCAACTTGTTATTATTAACTTGAGGGGAACGAGTCGAATGACATTCCAGGCAGATGCTCTTTCTAAAGTTTCTTGTCAGCAAAAGCTGGAGCCAACTTGATGTTGGGCGTCAGGAGTACGCAAGTCCCTGGAGGAGTGTGGCTATGGTTATATCTGGCACTATTGACTGTATAAGTTGGCCTACAATGATTGAATGAAGAACAAGACCTATTAAAATATTTTTTTCCATATAAATATCGACAACAATCGGCTCAGGACTGCTGTGATCAGCTGCCATAAAGCCTTAAACTACACACATAGGAACCGGAAGACAAAACCGCACTCCCCTGGAACAGCCGCGAGCGGACTTGTCGATGCTGTCATTTACATTCTACATAAGTACATTAAAGTAGAAGATTAACAAGAGTTTGTAGTAGAATGTGCTGCTATTATAAATGTAGTGTGTACAATAGTGGGAGAATTGAACTTTATAGATTGATAATTAACTTAGACAAGCCTCTAATCCTGAACGTTATGCACCATCATAGAAAAGTGAGGAGAATTCGAATTTATGTAAGCGTAAGCGCTAGTGCTTCTGTGTGTATATAGAAGCGATTCCTTTTTGTCCTGAGACTGGCCTTTAGGTCGAGTCGAGTCTATCCAAATAAACAAACCCCCTGCTTGTCTGTAGTAAATCGTGTATTCATTTGTCAAAGCTAAACGATATCTGTGCCAAGAACAACAGTACATGAAGTTCAGAGACAGGCGGGTCGCCCCCTGCTGAGGGGACACGGGGAGCAGCCTGACGGCCTCCTGTCACGGCGCTCCCGCTGGGTCTCCTGGCGGGGTGAGAGATCCAGTCGTGCCGAGCCACAGGAACTCTCCAAGCAGACGTTCGGTTAGCCTAATGCTAATCTCCACGAAGATGCTACGGTGGCAAAACAGTATCCAATCGGCCACTGTCTTGCCACCGACGCATCTGCTTGGACATTAAGCCTAGCCCGGAACCCCATCTTGTGTGTGCTCTAGTCCCGATAGCGACGTTAGAGCAGGCCATAGCGAACAGGCTGGACTCCAGCATAAGATTAGGCCTGTTTGAGGACGTTTCTTCTGTATAGCTTTTTGAACGTTTTGTCAGGGTTTTTTAATTTGTCGACCTTTTTTTCGCACTTCTGGCCTGGACAAGTATGTACAAGGAGGTTACGTATTTAACCTCCTTGGTATCAAGCAGTGTATCTTTTGTCTCCACGTTTCTACATACTTTTGTTATGCGACGACCTGTACCTAGCCCGTCGTGGCATGAATGTACAGTAATTAAATGTATTTCAATTACAAAAAAAAATCATAACATTTAGATACTCTAGTACAGTATGGCGTGTAGAGAGGGGACAGAGAAGTCGCCACCTACTTTTATACAAAACGTGTCCCATACATTATGTTCACGACTAGTGTAGGTCTAGTTCTATGAAAATAAATGACACTCAATTGATCTAAAATTCTAAGCCATTTCAGTCTCAAGAAGTTTTTATAATGACTTCTTAGTTCCAATACTTAGCTTTGGACGGACTACAACTTGTACAAGTGAGTTTGAGTCCGTTGTCCCCAATCTGACCAATCTGACAAGGTGAACTGATTTAGGAATTAAAAAGAGAATCTGGCACGAGATTACGTCTGCGTTTACAGGCTGACAAAGCGCGCATTTTTCTTCCTTTCCTTTGGGGAAAAGAAAACACATTCTGTCACAACGCCATGCCCTGTACATATGGCTTGCCACTGACCATAAAGGTTTAGAGTTCCGTAACGTTGGCCAACTTTTTTGTATATTTGTAGTTTGTTGTGTTCGAAATGGAAAATCATAGTTCCGAGGTTACCAAAACACGCACTCCACCGACCTGACGCACTGCTTGACCAGCAAACACTTTAACAGTAAATATGTGTCTGACCTACGGCCACTATTCACCTGCTATTATCACTCTTGTCACTGTGCGATGTCACTGAGCAATTGCATATGCGCTCCTGCTAGAAAGTTGCTGGACAAATGCACAAGCTCATTTTAAATCGGAGCCAGATGTTACCGGGAGGAGGTCGGTCAGACGTCCATACATGGAGCATGAACTGAGCCCTGAGCCATGTCGGCCCGGATCAGCCCTCTCACCGCCAGTCAAGATGAAATGATGACCTTCAAAAGGTCACCGTCCTTATGGTTCATGACAGCAATTCGCAGAAACTATCTAAACAAGAGTGCGTGCACAGTGTGAGCTGTGGGAATTATCTTGTCATGGGGAGTATAAATAAACCCTGGGGGATGGTTAGATAACTTTATTTAGTGAAGACGTCTGTACAAAACAAGGACAATAGACATACCTCTGTGGGGATAAGTAGCCTGACCCCCATGTATCACCAGGGCAGTTAGGAGAGGAATGGCTAAGATAGGTTGCAACATCTTTCCGATGAACTCTTGCTGCTGATCACAGATAATATAAATGTTGACGATTCAACATGAGCAGATTGAATCCAGAGGTCCCAAGCTGCCTTCTCAAGTTGCTAATTCGGCGCAGTTCTGGATGAAATGTGTTTTTCAGCAGTAGACTTGTGGTGCAGAGACGGCTCCACACGTCAGGCTCCTGCACGTCTGAAATCTTCACGACGTTTGTGCAGTTGACCTGAGGTTGTAGTTGACCTGAGCTCCTATCAACAACGGGGCACAGAGTACTACTGCAGTTGGCGTTGCACCACAGACTAACTCGAGTCGCCTCTTCAGTCCTTTTATAATATTTTTCACCGGAAGCGAAGCGCCCACGTTGGGTGACACAATGACTTCCCCCGCCCCGCTGGCTCGACAAGGACTTCCCGTATCGTTCTGTTTACGCACCTCATCCTCTGGCTAGTTCCACCATGCGGGCGGTAATAGGAATGTGGCCGACTCCAAAGGTCGTAGGTGGCGATCACTGATGACAGACAGCGTTGTTAGGATGGATCTCCTGGATATGTCTCACAGGAAAAGGCTGCCCGCGGGGGCACCTTTAATTTTACCCCAACCCCGTCAGTCTGTTACGGCTGGGCTCAAACAAGGCGTTATGACCTTTTCAGGTTTATTCGACTGCTTGTTCAGCATTTCTACCAGCAACCTGTGGAAAATTAATGTTACAGCAAGATAATTTATTGTGACGTGGGTGTTTTATAGCTAATATATCAACAAGTCATTGGCAGCCCCAAGCGGCAGCTCAGCGTTTTCCGAAGTGCCAAGGTTCACATGTGAAGTTCGCATGTGAACTTCATTACCGTTACTGAATAATAACTGTAAGTTACTGTCTGTATTAAAAACTGAGAAACAGCAATTGAATTAGATTTGGGAAAGATAGAAGATTCACCAAGCAAAAGAACTCTACTATTCTACCATTATTATTACTCCGTGAAGGAGGTCAGGACCTCCGGACGGAGTGTTGTAATCGGCTGATTTTTCATGTTCGCAGTCAAAACACTGGGTTCTCTTTGTGTAATCGGCACGCAATTTTATACGCCGTCTGCGGGCATGCCCGTGTTGATGCACGAATGTGTATTTTTGCCGTTGCTGCTTTCGCGGTCAATGTAATATCGCAGACGCACCCCTACAATTACGAGGCGAATTGGAATGGTCCAGAAAAGCGCGTTGTTTGGAATAGCAGTGGGGTTCAAAAA